ATGCAGAAAGGCTCTGGCTGGTACTTGCTTCTGTAGAGCCCAGAGTCACTGCAGGCTCTTGTGTGCCACGCTGGGGGTGCCGGGAAGTAAAAGGGGTCACAAGGAAACAAAAGGTTGCGCCTCTGGGGAGCAACAGACAGGACAGGTGACCAAGAAGAATATTCCATTCCATCTACATCATATTCAGGATAAAACTGAAGGATCACAGTGGTTAAGGGCTCTTCTTCAATGACTGGTGTCCAAGGAGGACTCCATCTGATCTTCTGCCTTTGATCCCAATTTTGAATTCCCAAATCCAGCCCCTGTGCCCTGTTCCCTGCGACCGCAGAGCCTGGGGCTGCCCTGGTGCTGCAGCATCAGTCGGGAGGGAGTCGGGTTTGATATCAGCTTTGTATGTATTTGTATATAGCTCTTTATTATTTCCTTATTAGTACTCTTATTGTTTTGTTAAAACCGTTCTCGTTTTCTTTTCCAGTCTGTAAGTCCCTCTGCCTTACTCCCCTTTCCCTTCCCCTTTGGGGAGGGAGGGGAGTTAGGGAGCATCTGTCAGTGCTCAGTGGCCAGCCCAGCCTGAACCCTTGACAGTCCTGGATCCGCTCCTCCCATGGGGATGCCACATACCCCAGCAGAGGCATGAGCAGGATGGAGCGGGGTTGCTTGGCCGTGTGCTCAGCCATGCGCTGGCTGCCAGGTAGGATGTAGAAAGGAGGAGGTGAACGTGTGGGTGTTGTTAAACCCAGCTCAGGGGGAGGCTTTCTGATGTGCTGGCTTAGCAACCCTGAGACCGAGGTTGCAGGGAGGGTGTGAGAGAGGAGTTTACCCAGCCAGGCTTCCCCGCTTCCTCCTCTCGAAGGGACTGTCTCCCAGGAGCAGCTCAGTCTAGACACTTTACGGCAGCCCCGTGCCAAGGGAATTTGCTAACTCATATCTGTCCAGACTGGGCTCTCTCGGCAGTCTTGGTGTTTTGGGATGTGACTGTGCCCTGCTGTGCATCCTTTGTACAGGATCCCACCTGATCTTTTGTGCGAGATCGATACAGGTTATTGCTCTACACCATCGCCTCCGCCCTGGCTTTCCGGTCTGTGTGCTTCGCTTCCATGCTTTATTTCTCACTCTTCCCCCTCATTAGCTGGATAAGATGCAGAGCTCTGCACAAGCCCGGCTCAGAGAGACGGGGAAGATGCATGGTGCATGCTCAAAGGGATGCTGCCTCTCCCGGCCTCTTCAGAGCCTGGCTGATGATCGTTGGCTGGTTTGTTTTGCGGCGGAGGTAGTTCAGCATGAACAGAGCAAGCAGAACTCGTGTCACAGCGGCAGCCGTGCCGAATGTGATAAGTGCAAAGGAGACTGCAGCGTGGAGGGAGATGTGTTTCTTTGCCGGTGCCATTTGCAGAGGGCAGATAAGCTTTCTGGAAGCTGAAGCTCTCTGGAGAGTGTGCAAAGGGATCAGGCCTGACTGCGGGGTCTGTTCAGTGCTTGGCTCATGGTATCGTTGGTAGCCTCATGATATGTTTGTACTGTAAACAGCTGGGGTGAACACGGCTTTGAAAAGAATCTGCAGAGCTATTGCTACTGATCAAATTAATCCCTAGAGGGCTGCTGGTAAGCAACCTAGCCTGTTCGATACAGGAAGGTTCTGTTCCAGGGAAAGAACAACAAGTTAAAGCTTCCCATCAAACCCCTATTTTCTCTCCTTGGTAGTTTCTGGATTTCCATGCAATAAAGTAACTTGCTTCAAATATTTTACGTATTTCATGGAGCGGGGCAATCAGGATCCAGGCTGCAGCCTCTGCTTTTTGTGAGCAGGGCTTTGGTAGGTAAGACTCGTGGGATCCAAGAGAACACAAGAGCAGGGCTGGCAAATTGCCTTTCTCAGGGGCTGGTTAGGCAGCCTGTGTTTGCCCAGATGATGGGTCACGTCTGCATTTCATTCTCTGGAATGAAATGTGTTTATTGTGCAAACTCATTTAAGGAAAAAGCTGACTTTATTAGCTGGTCTCTGGGAAGCCGTCAGCATTTCTGTGACCTGTTCTTCCATAGCTAAGGAAGAACAGGCCTAAGCAAGCACTCACCAAAGGTGTGTTGTGTAATTAGTGACATGTAATTTATCTGATTTATTCTTCTGCAGGAGCTTAAATCCATTAGACATCGACTGTCAGCCTGTACAGGGGCGCAATGTGAAGTACGTTGGTTTAAGTTATTTAATTTTAACCAAAAATAAGCCTTAGAGCAGTTGAAGAGTGCTATATTTTTTCCTTAAACTCTATTAAAGGGAGCTGTATGCTCTGTATGAAGGGACTGGCTGCCCGAGTCGGGCCTTTCCTTGCTGCTCTCCGACAGGCTGGTGAGCACGACTGCAAATGCCCATCTCCTTCACATTTCCACTTTGAATCACCATATGGAAAAGAGACGTGGCTTCCACCCTGCTTTAGAGTCATGGAAATGAGCTGTTATGAAATGAGGAAAAGGAACTGTATCCTGGCAGCTTCTGAACGAGCAGCTTGAGAATTGACGTAATCGCAAGGCGCCGGGAGAAAGCCGACAGAAAGGAGGAGTCGAGTTAGAAAATGAGTAAAAACAAGAGTGTGTTTAGGCAAGTTTAGCTCTCCTTCCTTTCCTTTTTGGCCAGAGGTTGTTTTGCCATTGCCAGGTACAACGTCCTTCAAAGCGGGTACCTAATTTATGCTGGAAAGACCAATTGATTTCCAGTAATGCGCAGCCATCTTATAAAACAATTTCTGGCTTTTCGATGTAGCGGATAATCTAATAAACAGAACACGGAAGTTTCATCACGTGGAAATAAATACAAAGGATAGTTTTGCCTGCAGATAGCATGCATGAAAGAAGCAGCGATAGCAGGGCTGAAATTAATTCAGAAACCTGCTTAATATAGTGCCTTTTCTCCTCATAACTCCAATGAACTGGGAAATCAACACATCCCTCTCTTAATATTTTGTATTTTGCCCCCGCGCGGTGCAAACAGCCTGGCTTTCCTGGTGTTCAGGTGATGGAAGTAAGGACATCCTTTAGGAGACCTGATAGCTTGGCTAGAGTCAGAAACATTTAGATTTAATTTGATTTACAATTTTACTCCCGCCTCCACCATGAGTCACGTCCTGTACAAGCATCTCTTCGCTGGCCTTTCTTTGCAGCCGTAAAAAGGAAAAAAAAATTAAAATTGGCCTCGGATAGCGGAGCAAGGTGTTGGGAAACGCCACGGGAGAGGAGGTATTTCTTGTCGTAGGCTTTGCGTGGCTTTACCTGCAGCATGGCGGTGCTCGTGAAGAGCAGGACTGACCGCTCTCTGAGGCCTTAATTCTTTGAGTCATTCAGTGACGTGTGCCTGGATCTCTGTATTTGAAATAAGAAAGGGTTTTTTTTGTTTCTTTTTTGTTTTTTTCCTGCTGGCCCCTAAGCAGTGCCATGAAGCAGGGGCTGGTGTTTGAAGGGAATTTGGTGCTGCTGGTCCCCGACTGCTGCAGTCCAGTGGAGAATCTAGGTTTTCAGAGCATTTGGGACTTTTGTTTTACTAAAAAGATGTCCCAAGCATCAGGAAGAAAAGATCTTTGTCTTTCAGCTGTGAGCAAAGAAAGCTGGTAGTATATGTCCGAGAGCCACCAGAAATCCCCTAGCAACCAGGCTTAATGATCCTGATATTTCGTTGCAGGATCGCAGGGAATCAGAAGCTCGTACAAAAGCGCTGCTGTTATTTCAAAGATGAAGTTGCTGCTGGAGGCTTCTTTATAAAAGAACGAGCAAACCCTGTTTCTCTTGGCATTTATAGCTTTTAGCGTGTGCGCACATAGTCCTTGTGCTTTGAAACAGCTGGGACTGGCTGAAAACTGGGTCTCCGAGGTCAGGGTCTGAAACAGAGACCAAGGAGGTTTAACCTGAGGCTACCACGATTGCAGCCTGAGCCAATGAACCAGCAAGCACTTGTAGAAATACAGGGGAACTTTGCCATCACATGTTCCCTTCCCTTCTGGCGAGGAGATTTCCCGTGGCCGTCGGTGAGCTGCCTGGCATGATTAATCGCCTTCGGTGTCTGCACTGGGAGGTTTCGAGACAACAAAAGGAAAATTACTGGAGCTGGCCTGCTCTTTGCCTCTCGCCTGTCCCGGCAGGGTGGTGAGACCCTCTCATTAAGGCTGTCTCGTTAACGCTCCACAGCTTGAGCAGCTTTCGCCTCTGTGCCGGGGAGCAGCTCCGCTGGGACCCGTGCTGTTTCAAAGCGGGAGAGCGAGTGGCGCCGGTGCTTTGCGTACGCTTCCCACTTGGGAGTGAAGAACTGGCTTTTATCAGGATGGGCATGTGTCTTTGTGGCCTGGTTTCTGCCTGGGCTGTCTCGGGGGAGGCCGTTGATGAGGTTGATGGCAGAAGGAGCAGAGTGAACGTGGAGCATTAGTGCGGGCTGCTGATGGAGCAGGACTCAGCTGGTGCTACAGAAACAACATAAAGGCAGCATCCTTTAGAGACATGAGGTACTCAGACACTCGAGCTTGAATGCTGTGTCCATTTTTGAGACAGAATTCAGGAATGACCTGCTGGGGCATGTCCAGAGGAGAGAAGTCAGATGCCTAGATGACCTGGTGGCAAGGGACGATCGATGGGGCTTGGACTTCTCTTTTCTAGCAGAGAACAAGCTAAGGGAGGCGTTAGGGCAGTCTTTGTGTAAGAAGTTGTTGCAGGCAAGGAGAGAGCGATCTATTCTCCGTGTCAGCTCTTGTAGGACAGAAAGTAATGGGTGTCTTTTGTCAGGGGAGATTCCAGCAGGGAATTCTCTGCCTGCAGGGAGCATGCAGCCAGATGGCCCCAAAGCGGCGTGGAGTTTCCGTCGAGATATCTGAGGACAGGTTTAATGGACATCTGTTCTGAGTGATGCTGGTTTGGAGTGGATATTTGGGCTAGCTGGCCTGTTACCACCCTGTCCAGCCCTGCTGTCTGTGATTCTGCACTTTGCAGAAGGAACCTTACAGCTCTTGTTTTACTTGTTAATGCAGAGAAGCCTTATGAGTGGAGCTCGGAGGAGGAGGAGTCCGTGAGGAAGGCAGGACCGGTGCAAGTCCTCATTGTCAAAGATGACCACTCCTTCGAACTCGATGAAGCTGCACTGAACCGCATCCTCCTCTCAGAGGCTGTCAGAGATAAAGAGGTTGTGGCTGTGTCCGTTGCTGGAGCTTTTAGAAAAGGAAAATCTTTCCTGATGGACTTCATGCTGCGGTACATGTACAATAAGGTATGGCTCCAGCTCAGGTGGCTTTTCCCAGGGATGTGGTGCCGCTGCTCATTGTTCCCATGTTCCGCCCAGGGATGAGCTGGATGGGACACTGGCATGCTCTGGGAATGGTTAAGCCTCTCATTAGCATGGGATCCACAAAATAAAATAGAGATCTTTCTACAGCTCTGTGTACCAGTGGGTCTCTAGTGGGCTTTTGACTTTGGAGCAGAGCTGTTCACCTTTGCTGCCCTGTAGGAAACCTCTCTTACAAGGGCTGGTCCCTTCCAGCACCAGGGTGGAGACAGCACAGTGGAAAAGCGTAAAAACAAAGCCAGGTGAGAATCCAGCGACTTCTTCTGTTCCTGCCTGCAGGAAGCCGTGGACTGGGTTGGAGATTACAACGAGCCTTTGACTGGTTTCTCTTGGAGGGGAGGGTCTGAGCGGGAGACGACCGGCATTCAGATATGGAGCGAGGTGTTCCTGGTGGACAAGCCCGATGGTAAAAAGGTGGGTGTTTCTCTGTTGCATAGCTCTCTGTTACTGGTCAGCTCCTTTTTCTCTTCCAACTTTAGTAAGGCTCTCCTGCCTTGTCATAAGTGGCTCAAATGCCTGTGCAAGGTTAGAGGAGGTCCTCAATACCATATCCCTAATTTTATATGAGTGACTTTAATACAGTGAGTGGATATGGTGTCTCTGTGCCCCTGATATGCTCTCTAGGTGTCCCTATAAATCTGGGAATCTCAGAGTTTATTTCTCTGCTATTCCCATGGATCTTGAATCTGAGGTCCTTGCAAACTATTCTCCTTTCCTGGAGCAGTAACTGCAAAATGGGAGTGTCTTCCTTCAGGGTGGTCAAATGCAATGCAAATAGGATTTTGGGGTATCCTGTAAATTCAACTTACAGCCAAGCGTATTTGTATTCATTTGCACTTTAGTGAAGAGCCCGACACTAAAGTGACACAGAATTATTCACGGTGTGACTTCTAATGCTGCCTGAATGTGTTTTGGGTTAAGGAGGTGCGATACGCTGCCGTGTTCAGTTTCCATGACATGAAGCTAATGCGGACTCAGGAAGAGACCCGTCGGCACTGACAGCAAGTGTTCGAGGAGCAAAGCAGTTCCCTCCTCGGTGTTCCCCAGCGTTTGTTTCGCTGCCTGCTGGAGCCATCGTGCTATCAGGAGCGACTGGGGCTGCTCCTTTCCTTTGTGCTTCACTGTTAACCGGGCTGAGACAGAAGCGAGGAGATTCCCAGCACAGTAATGCTGCTGACATTCACCCCCCCGACACCCCTTTGGCACTAGAGAGGGATTTTGCTTGGATGCGGATGCTGAACAGGGTCACCCAAGCTGACGTGGAGCTTTCTGCCCCTCAGGTCGCAGTGTTGCTGATGGACACGCAAGGGACCTTTGACAGCCAGTCCACCCTGCGGGATTCAGCCACCGTGTTTGCCCTTAGCACAATGATCAGCTCCATACAGGTAAGAAGGGGGATGTCTCCAGGAATCGCTTCCTAAAAGGCGGTGGCAAAAACCCAGTAGCTTGACATGGGGCTCACAGTAACTAGCCAGGGCTTTTGGTGGGAGAGACAAAAGGCAGGATGTTTGCTGCAGGATTCATACGACTCCATCATCACAGGGAACTTGTCTCTTCATCTTCCTCCAAGAGCAGGGCGGCAGCAGATGCACCCTTTGGCTTCCAGCTACCAGAGAGGAAAGGACCTTGGTCTGGGGAACTGGGTGTGTTTTTGTCACAGTGCTGCTGCGGAAACCTCAGGGCTGGAGGTGTTGACACACCAGTAACCACGTAACGTTTTAGGCCTTCACTTCCTACCATCTGGCCTTTGCTCTTGGAGGACAGCATGAATGAGATGGAAGCTGTGTCTTGGTACAGAGCTCAGCACGTCATAAAAACAGAGAAGAAAGAACATTATTTGGAACTGACAGGCTTCCAGGCTGCAATGTGACAGCCCCTGGTGCTCCTGCAGTCTGTGGGTCTGCAACAGTATCTGTGGGTCTGACACTGTGAATCTGTCCAGCAGTTGCAACCACACCAACCCACACATTGGCCCAAAGAACAGGCCATTCTGAGTGCTCTAAAGTTTGGTTTTTTTTTTCAAATGCAGGTTTACAACTTGTCCCAGAACGTGCAGGAGGATGATCTGCAGCACTTGCAGGTAAGACCCTTGTCCCTGCTGCTCCGCAGCGCTAAGGTGCCTGGATTACACTCCATCCGTTGCTCTGGAAAGGCACTTGTGCATTCGTAGCCATAAAATTTTTTTCAGTTTCCCAGCAGGGAGGAGGAACAGTCACTTGGGTTGAAACCTGTCTTGCCTATGCTTTTGTAGCATGGCTCCTGCGGGCCTGGGTCATTCCTCAGGGCAGTCAGTGGGTCACTTGCCAGGAGGGACTGTTCCTGTCTCTGGGGCGGTGCTGCAGCCAGGGAGGGTTACTCTGACTTTCTAGCAGTGAGGTTAGAGGAAGCATTGAACAGACTGCGTAGGGCAGGTGTAAAGTGCCCATCACAGACCATCTCAGTGGAGCACCCATGGTGTGTCACAGAATCACAGAATGTTCAGGGTTG